CCCCCCTGCTAAACAGAAAAAACAATTCAACGGAATCCCTCTGATTACAAGGGGTACACACACAAAAACGCAAAGGGCAAACAGCATGGCGATATGTCATGAAATCTTAGTGACATCTCATGACCTTTGTTCTATGTCAACGAGAGCAACGCTGCCTGTTATCAATTTATAGAAAACTCGGGGAAACCAAAACACACGGCCTTTCAGATGCACCTCTCGCCGTTCCCAGGAAAGAAAACGACAAGAGCTTTCTAGGAGGCGAGCACAGCGCTGTGCAGAGATTTGCCCTCGGTTCAAACAGGGTGTCCATATTGATGTCTACATCCAGAGAGACATTTAGAGTGTGAAAAAAGAACGGCGGTGTTTGGGCCCCTGAATAAGGGGGCCAGGTAAAGGGCCCAAACAGCTTGTTTTTCAGCTCTGTTCACCATGATTCGGAGCACAGCTTCATCTGAATCACCTTGAGTCCCCTCGCATGTTTCTCTTCTCACTCATCCACTTCAGCTAATTTGTTCAAGCCCACACTCATCCAACAGCCCCCGCACAAACAGCATCAAACCAAAAACGCTTCTAATTGCTGCACCAGGGTCCAAAGTGTAGCCATGGTGACAAGCCAGACAAAGCCTGTACCTCGCTCAGAAGGTGTCGGCGAACAACCTAAAGACATCTAGAAACTAATGATCAATGATGCGTTTGCACTCAACCACTAGGATTACAGCATTTGGATTATTGCGGTCGTCTGCGTACCTAGCAGCGTGCTCCAAAATCTTGTGTCAGGTTAACCTGCGCTTGATATGGCTAATTGTGTAAGCTCACCTTGACAACCGCTTCAAGAAGTCATCCAGTGCAGCATGCCCAGCGGCTGCTCCTGGCCTTCAGCTCTACAGGGCATCTCTGAAAGGGGCTCAACGCTCAAGAAGATATCACTGCATGTCTATTCCGCATGGCTAAAAGGGTTAAGATATACACATAGAGAGAGAGGGATATATACATATATATATATGTAGCATACACATGCATATTGAACTAAGAATGAGCTTGTGAGAACCTCTCTCTGCTGCAGTTCACTTTTGGGGGCTGCCGTAGACAGTGCTGAGAATACGTTCACATCTTCTTTCAGCTGCAAAAATTTGCAAAAACACTGACCGCACGCACATTCCGAACTTCAGATGAGAGGTTCACAACAAAAGGCACAGGAGTCGAATTCCATGGGCAGCAGTTACCGTATGCTCTAGCTGTCTTCGTGGCACACCACATTTCAAGCTGAGGCAGATTAGAGCCCTTACCAAAAGGTTCTTGCACAGAGCTGTAAAAATAATTAATGGTTGGTTTGCCTAGCTTTCAGGAAGAAAAGTCCAAGAACTCCACGGGTTCTTGCTTTGTTGCATGCCAGGCCATGGACCAACGCTCGTAAGAAAGTGAGAACCGGAGGCAAGCTCAAGATGGGATTGGCAAGTTGCGAACCCCTTCTCACGATAGTCTTTCACTTGCGAACATCTACTCACTCACTCAAAGTGCGCTCTCAAAACAACTACATTGGCGGCGTGTGACATCGGCACTCATTCAAGTTCGCGTGAAAAAGCAATCTGTCAAACCTCAGATTCTGACACGATGCCCGTCACTGGCTTGACGGTTCTATCCACCTGACGACCACAAAGCCAGACGCATGTTCGGCGGGAGGCTACAGTGAAAACAAGGTGAGCCCACGGACCCAAAAGCAAAAAGAAGCGCGCAACCCAGGAAAATAGACAAACACACATTAGCAGGCCAAAACGAAGCATCAGCCCCCTCCAGGTTTCGTGGCAACCATGATACTTCAACCATCGCGGTTCTGTTGCGCATCCGTCCACCCCCGTCTGCCATATACACCCCCGTCCACCCCTTGGTCAGTTTTGAAAGCCCTTCTAACAACCGCGTGGAGCAGCATCAGCTCCCTCCATGCTTCGTTCCAACCATGAAATTTGAAGCATTGCGGTTCTGGCATGCCACCATCCTGCCGTTTCTGCAATGACTTGGGCTGTTTTCGGCATACATTGCACACATTTCTGGACACCCAAGACCGTCATATAGGCCGCGCCAGACAGTTCCACTCGCGCACTAACGTTCTTCCGCGAGACATGGAGTAGCATTAGCCCCCCCATGCTTCGTTCTACTTAGCATCCATCTTCCTTCCACAGCCCCGTCCACGCCCGTCCACCCTCCCATCTCCATCCATAGCCCCGTCCACACCCATCTTCCGTCCACGAAAATGCTTCCCTCGTCTCGCTCTGCCCCCTGACGACTAAACTAAACGAGAACCCAGGCATCAGAGATTCTTTTGGGAAAAGCACACGCGTGCGTACTGCTGTGCCAGCGCTACAGTGCATCACACGCAGTAAAATGCATTCGGTTTGGCATAGATTTCCGGCGGCGTGCATCGTTGGCATGATCAGGGCGTCGATATGGCGGAGATATCCCAGGAGGAGAGTATTTGTCGTTTGTTTTTCTCGAACAAACCTTTGCGGGCTTCGATCTTAAGAGTTTACACCGGCATAGACCCTAGATAGAAATATCGTTGCAGTAAGAAGAAAAGAAGACGTTTCCCTTTTTGGTCGGGTTGGAGGTCATATACTTATATATATATATAATTATATATACATATATCAAGTGGCTGTTTTCAATCTCTGCAGCTAATCTCCAACAACATTGCAACATGGCTTCTGACAACCGTTCCAGGAAGCATGGAGCAGCATCAGCCCCCTCCATGGTTCGTTCCAACCATCCAATTTCACGCATTGCGCTTTTGGCACGCAACAATCCTGCCGTGTCGGCCATGGCTTGACTGTCTGGCGCATGCATTGTGCACATTTTGGATACCCAAGACCATCGTATAAGCCCGGCAACACAGCTCCACTCACCTCCCAACATGCTTCCGCGAAGCATGGAGCAGCACTACCCCCACCCATGCTTCGTTCTACTTGTGCACTGGCCCGGGGCAGCCTGCAATATGCTTGTGGTGCAACCATGTCCTCGTAACTAGCATATCAGCCGCATGCACTCCCAGCCCCGTCCACACCCATCCCCCGTCCACACCCACGCACCTCCCGTCTCAATGTGCCTCCCGTCTCGCTCCTCTCCATCTTCCCGCCCCACCGTCTCGCTCCCCTCCCTCCCCAGCCCCGTCACCCATGCGCCTCCCATCTCGCTCCCCTCTATCTTCCCTCCCCAGCCCCGTCCCCACACATGCACCTCCCGCTCGCTCCCCTCCATCTTCCCTCCCCAGCCCCGTCCCCAACCCCC